TCACCTCCAGTCTCCCCCCTGCATCCCCCGCAGTCGCGCCACTCCCTAGAGCTTGGGGCTGCGAAGAGGGTTGACATTGTAACAAAAATACAGGACCACCAACGCGTCAGTCTGGAGACCCTTCCCAGCAGAGCCGCTGTTTCTGAGCCCCGTGGTGACTGCTGCTTGCTATTTCTTCACGCGCTTTTCAGGGATCCTACACCCCATCAGTGGCAGAGCAATTGGTTTGCAGTGGCACCGAATAAAAATTAATCGCTCCCAGCGGTGAGTAGTGGTTCAAACTAGTCTTATAATCATGTGGATTGTAATTTCTTTACGCAAGCATAACAATATCTAATCTAATTAAAGATAGAACCTTCTGGGAACATGGCAATTGTAATACACAGTACAACCTTCTTGCCTCGTGGCCTGGGTGTCCCCTAGGTGGCCCTTCTCCGGAGGTCATTGTGAACTCCCCGAACTCACTCAAAATGCCACTGAAAATACCCCTGATGCCCTGATGGCCTGGGGGTATCATCACGCAGTAGTGCTTCACAGAAGCAGCTTCGGCTGTACGTGCGATCTTGGAAACAAGCCTCTTCTGACCCGGTGTACACAAAAATCAGCCCTCCTGGAGACCCTGTGCCTCTGAAACGTAAACGCAACGCCTTGAGTTTAAGCTGTTTTTTCTAGTTCTAAAAGCACTGCACTTTAGGATAGACGATGCTTTCGCATTATCATACCATTGATGTTGAACAATGACCTTGTTTAGAACACTCTGGAGTAGAACTTTAAACACCATGTGTTAACCTTAAATTTAAATCATTTTTCTAACAGCGGGGCCATGTACTTAGGCTCCAGGCGAGATGTTAGGGTTGAAATTGCCCTGGTGAGATGTACCAGGACACGTGCCGACTGCTAAAAGCTACAGATGCTGCAGATAGTATTTTAAGGATTATGCTTGGTGTGCACGTTATTGCACGTAAACTAATTAGGTCCTCAGAATTGATACCTGGTGGCTCAGGTTTTAAAAACATGATATTAAGAAAAGCAACGGCCCATCACTCATTTCCTTTCTCCTACGTGAGCGGGAGGCAGAGGATGCAATGCAGAGGAAAAGTCCTAACCTCTGCAGTGCTGGCTCGTGCTCCTGGATGGAGTCTTTCCAAATTCACGGAATTCTCTTGGCTCTTGGCAAGACTCTGATTTACAGACTACATGAGTATTTGTAGTCTGCTTTTTCTGTGCATTCTCATTTGCATACAGGGAGATGTTTGTGCTCTGATAACTTTTCCTTCCTAAAGATTAGCTTGTCAGTGATACAGTTCTTCTCCTGTGTTCCTCAGAACTAGTGTATAAAGTTAACCTATCGGAAGACTATCTGGTGAGTTTCAACAAAGTGAAAAATTTAGTCTTGAGAAAGAAGGCAGAATGTTGATGCCAGTTTTCAGAAGTTGACTCCTTTGGTTATAAAAAATCTGGTTTGTTTTGTTTTTCCCCCATGATATCTTGACTGGCTGCAGTTTTACTGCTTCACAGAACTTCCAGCAAAACATTATATTACGGGAATCATGTGAGACTTGAAACTCAGAAGTTGTGATTTGATGGAAAGGCCTTTAAAATTTTGGTTGAGACCATAAAACCACTGCAAAAGTAAGATCCTCTTTTTCTGAAAGACTGTAAGGTCTTGACTGAATGTGAGCACCCTCAGTAATATGAAGGGCAGCTTTCTTGCCCATACCATGAGAGGGATGTTTTATCACATTTGCTGTATGCCTAGGGCTATAATTTGGATCTGAAATGTCTCCCAGAGACCTGCATTAAAGGATTGCTCCCTATTGGTACTATTGGGAGGTGATGGAAACTAAGCGGCAGAGCTTAGTGTAAGGAAGTGAAATCATTGCAGGCTGGCCCTTGGAAGATACAATGGGCCTCTCCCTGTCCCTTTTCCTCTCCCTCTGTTTTCCTTGTCCCTCTCTCTTTTTCCTTGTCCCTCTCTTTCTGCTTTCTAACTGCTACAAGGTGAACAGTTTCCTCCACCATGTGCTCCACCACCACAGGCCCAAAAATGACGAGGCTGAGCAACCATGAACTGAAACCCCTGAAACCATAAGTCAAAACAAACCTTTCCTTTTTTATCAGACACTTTAACTTGGATATTTGTTACAGAGATGGAAAGCTGACTACTACACCCAGCAAAAAACAAGATTGTGAATAAGACTGGTCACTCAGAGATGAAAACAGTCATCTTGGTACATCTCTTGTACTTTATGTTTCATCCAGCATGATGATGGTGCCACTCAGAGTCCTGAGTAGGAATTATCACCTACCCAGCCCTCCTGCTTTAGTCTCCTATGGATGTTTTATCTATAACTCTACCTTCTGCCTCTCTGTCAGCGTTCACGTAAAAAGTCATTCCATAACCATATTGAGTACCAGGTACTTGGACTGAGTATAGAGCACTGGCTCTTGGTAAACTTGCTCTAACTCAGAGGCACACAGCCCAATGATTATCCAACTGTGTGGGTCACTGTAGGGGAAGGGCATGCAAAATGGTGTCGGGAAGGACTCTGCAGAGAAACTGTTGCCCCAGTCTGCCTGAGTTCAAAGCCCAGGCATTGAGGTGCTACACCTCACTGTCTTCCTGTACCTCAAAGTGGAGTTGTAAAGCGTTTGAGCACAATGAGACATGGCCAAGGACATTCCAGGCTACAGAGCGGAAGCAGTGGGCAAGAACAGGTGTATCAGTAGAAGGTAAGGAGAACACAGGTGGCCACTGAGGCCAGCTAGCCGTGAGATGAGCAACTGCAGGAGCGGGTGTCTGAGATGCTAGGAAAGCAGGGAGGGATGCATTTCATGCACATTTTATGGAAGGGAAAATTAATAAAAATTGGGGAAAGAAGCCAACACTGGAGGAATCCGTATGGGAGAAAAATGCTATCTTTGGAAGAAATAGGTATTATGAAACAAGAAACTGCTATGGGGAAACGATAAGAGAAAATCACCTTTTTCCTTCCACAATTGTTCTGCAAATTTATTTGCTGTTTTTCTTTTCCACTGTAGCAGCACCGTGACATGACTATGTATGTGCTTGTTTTGACTGTCTCGTCTATAGGATTGCTTCTGCACAAGCTGTTATGCCTGACACATAAGAGGTCCTCGGTAAGTATTTGTTGAGTGAATGACATGTTTGGCATGCGGTTTAAAATATCAGGAAGGTGATTAGTGGGCAGATGTAGCTTTGGAATGTATCTGTACAGGTGATAGCAGAAGCCTGAGAATGACTAAGATCCCTGATTAATAGAATTGGAGAAAGGATAGAGGAGGGTGGGAGCAAAAGGAGAATCTCCCAAAGAGAGCAAGGAATCCTCCCAAAGGTAAAAAGGTGGCTCAGGATTCTATAACTTACTCAGCTACCTTCATACCTCCACCACTCCTCACAACTTCTTCGATACCTTCCCTGTAAAGCCAGGGAAGCGTGAGGCGGGCGTGTCTCACTGGTAATGTCGCTGCGTTCTGCAGTTGTCGTGTGAGAATAGGGACATATTTTCAAAAGATAACAGACAGCTCAAATGTTATGGAAAATCTTACATTTTCAAAAATGTTGCCAGCTAGCCCAGATATTTTTAAGGTGCAGGCCAAACAAAATAGTCACGAGCCAAGTTTGAGTAGCAGTGTACCGTCGCTGAGTTTTATGCCTTGTAGTTCATTCAGCAGCTCTTTTGCCCACAGGAGAAAAATACCTGAGTTTAGTACTTCAGTTAGGTCTGAGCTTTCTTATGTGTGTGGGGGTACAGAAGCCTTCCCTAAACCTGGGTAATGTGAGGCGACATTTGCTCCTCATCTTTGTGGCCCACCCCTTTTCTCTCCTCTGTGCATGGCTTCTGCCTTTCACACCATTGCTTGATTTCAGGGCTATTCCAGTACTTCTAGAGGTCTCCAGTGCCGTCTGAATCATTAACCCAGTGAGGTTTCCTGATCTTCACTCTTTTCTAAATTTTGAAATGCGTCTTTATTATTCATTCAGTTCCAGCTAATAGAATATTCAAATTAACAAAATTCATTAATTCATTTAAATGGTTGCTTGGTAATATGTAATTTGG